CCAAAGCCCCAGTAGATAGCTGTGTGTCATAGCTGCACATCCTTCTAGTTGCTGTATGTGGGACGCGGCCTCAGCATGGCCGGAGAAGCAGCGCGTCGGTGTGAGCCCGGGATCCGAACCCGGGTCGCCAGCAGTGGAGCGCGCTCACTTAACCACCAAGCCACAGGGCCGGCCCTATGCAAATTTCTTTGTATGTATTTTGAGAAAGATTCAGACTGGTGATGTGCTTTGAGAAAGATTCAGACTGGTGATGTGCTTAGGTGACCCTACGTCATGGGACTCCTCAGGAACATGGTTGAGGTGAGACTGAGAAGAGAAGAGGGCCCATGGGGTGTGGTTACAGTGGAAGATGTTTGAGACATGGTTCAGTGCCTACAAAGAAGACTGGAGACTGAGAGAAGATGGAGCAGTGTTTTCTCTACTCATTAGCATCAGTGGTATGCCGAGGGGTAAACCCTGGAGAGGCTTTGTGCTTTTTCTTTCCTTACTTTCCTACTTGTTCAGAAATAGAAATAGGAGTTTTCTTGCTTTTCTGTATTCTTTGTAGAGTTTCTCTTTCATTAACCTCAATAAAGTTAAAGGAAAGTAGTAAGCTTTTTATAAGTTTACTAAAATAAAGCTTTTGTATCTCATTTGGCTTAGGTAAAATAATGCCGTAGATATTTTGTGTTGAAAAGTGGCTAAGAAAAACTTGCCTTTTGCTCATAGTTTAAATTAGAATGTAAGAAATACGTATATGGGGCCAGCCTGGTGGCGTAGCAGTTAAGTGCACGTGCTCCACTGCGGCAGCCCAGGGTTAGCAGGTTTGGATCCTGGGCGCGCACCAACGCACCACTTGTCAAGCCATGCTGTGGTGGCGTCCCATATAAAGTAGAGGAAGATGGGCACAGATGTTACCCAGAGCCAGTCTTCCTCAGCAAAAAGAGGAAGTTTGGTGACAGATGTTAGCTCAGGGCTAATTTTCCTCACACACACAAAAAAATACATATAACCTGAGGGCTTATAAAACAGCTTTTTACCCTTGAGCTAAAAGCTATTCATATGTTTTTCAGGAGTCCCGCCTGTTAATTGTTTTCATAAACTTTATAAACTGATTCTTGTTTTAAAACAGAGCTTAAAACATTTCCTTATCCTGCCTTCCCTAAAGAGAAAAAGAAAAGAATTTTCTTAATGTATACAGTCTTATGTCAGATTGATAAAACAGTAATTTAAGTAATGCGCTTTTAGACTTTGAAGTAGAAAGTTAAAAAATCAACATAATACTATATAGTCTGTCAAATAAAAGTGGAAAAAAATTAATCATTTCCAGTAATGACCTTTAATTGAAAAATTTTAGTGTCAAAATGTCTAAGGCAATGTATTGACATTCAGAAGTTGCCTTAATTTTTAACCATTTGCTTTTTATGATGTTGAAAATACTTATGAAAATAAAAATTCTGGCAAAATCCATTTCTTTAGAACACTGCTATGGAGAAACTTGTTTACATTTGGGAAATGAGAATTAAAAATCCTCAGGAGTCAAAAGAGATATCAAATCCATTTTTCTTTTCTTTTTTTTTTTTAAAGATTTTATTTATTTTATTTTTTTCCCCCCAAGCCCCAGTAGATAGTTGTATGTCATAGCTGCACATCCTTCTAGTTGCTGTATGTGGGACTCGGCCTCAGGATGGACAGAGAAGTGGTGCCTCGATGCACGCCCGGGATCAGAACCCGGGCCTCCAGCATCGCAGTGCGCTCACTTAACCACCAAGCCACAGGGCCGGCCCTCAAATCCATTTTTCAAGGCACACGTTCTTGACATCCACAAGCCAGTCTGTGTATTCTCGAGTAATTGCTAAGCCATCAACATATTACTGAGCAGGAATTAATTGACATCCCTGAGCAGGAATTAATTGACATCATGGGACAGACTGGAAGAGCCATGGTGGAAAAAACAGACACAAGAGGTCAAAAAATGTTATTCCAAAACCTCTTGGGATATTGAAACCGATAGCCCTTTAGTATTGAGAGAATCGCTGTTAAAGCATTACACCTGTATTGATGCTAAAAACCAACCAACCAACCAACCAGAAAACAACCACGATGAGTATATTCTGTTTAAGCAGATGCATTATTATATAGTTTGGAATTATTTCTATTCAAAGTGGTTAAAATAAAAATATTTTAGCATTTAAAATGACAAATTGGCATTTAGAAAATATGAGGTTTTCTGTAGCTAAGGTTTTACTGTAACAAATGGATGATCCCCTAATCTATAAAACAAACCAACAAAAATCTCTGTTCTTCATCCTTAAATAGCTATTCTGATTTGTTTTCACAGGCAGTCTTTTTCGCTTCAATTTTCTTCTTTTTTAAGATAATTTCTTTTGAAGGTGAAATACTTTGGGAATTTCCTTTCTATTTAAGTTTTTTTTGTAAATTCAATCTTTTCAAAAGAATATATATAGAACATTGTTATAAAGAATATCAATGAAATGAACAACTGATACCACTACCCAGTTTTTAAAAAAGGATCATTGCCAGTATCTTTGAAGCCATCTCCTTGTTTTTTCTTTTCCAGTTAAATCACTGTCCTGAGCTTTGTGTTCCTCTCCTTTACTTATCTTACTGTATAGTATAAAAAAAGTAATGTTTAATTGGCTTGCTTTTGAGATTTCTATAATGGTATATCATATATATTCTTCTGTGACTAGCTCTTTTTGTTCACTCTGTTTATAAGCATCTGTATATTGATATGTCTAGCTGTTTGGTATTTTGTAAAGTATCTTCAAAGTATTTTGAGCCTTTGATTCTTTAAAATTTCTTCATTGTGCTTTTCAGATTACAAAAGTAATTTATGCTAGTAATTAAAAATTTAAACATCGTAGGAATATAACAGAAAGGGAAGGTTCCTCATATTCTCATATTACTCAGCTGTCAGTCAGTATAGTTATATCAGTAGTTAACTGATTCTCTGCATATGTCATGCCATCTTTTTTCTCTTCTCTTTCATTAAAAAAAGATTTTTCAGCTGCAGAGCCACTGTGTCACATTTCTGGTGAGAGAGGACAGTACTCTACTTGTATCTTCTGTGAATAGCAGCCCCTGGAGTTTTGCAGCATAACAATCTTCCTTAACGGTGTTT